TGGCTGGGGAATTCTGGGAGTTGAAGTCCACTCATCTTAAAGTGGCCAAGTTTGGACAACACTGGTCTAGATAAAGGGTATTCCCAACTTTTAGGTGGAGGAGGGTCCACTTAGTACTTAATGCATCTCTTCACAAAATCTGTGACAAAATCTTCATTCCGATGGGATCATCGTGTAGTGATGCGATGATTTCTGACATCGTTGCCAGTTGTTCAAATTTGTTACTTTGCTTTTCAGGTTGTGGTTCAGCATGTACACTTCGATGGGCTTGGAAGGACTAAAGATGATATCATCATGTATGAAATCGGGGAAGTTTTCAAAGCTAAAAACCTGATTGACGTGAGTACTGAAATTCCTTAACGTGCTTTCGGAAAAATCTCAACAACTGCCATATATTGGCATCCTTGTTTAATTCTGTAGAAATTTCAGAATACGATTGCTCAACGTGTGTGCCAAAATAATCTTGCAAAGCTTTTCTAAAAGTAAGTGTTTTGGAAGCAGGTGTTCAGCTGCATAAATTTGGGATTGTGGAAACATACTGAGTTTCTTTTCCGGTGGACACGGCCTTGAGTTTCAGGGGGGACTTATAACATGTAGTAGCCTGCAGAGCATATCAGTTTGAATTATCTCAAACTCAGCCCTCTCATTTGACTATGAAATGAGCTGCTCCAAGCATTTTAGAAGTGTTTCAAGCTTTTGCATATTTTCATTAAATTATAGGAGTCATTCTGCAGCTAACGGCAGTTTCTTTCTACAGCTTTTCTAGACTGCCATGATCTTTTCCTATCCCTTGAAGGGCGCTAGAAATTCTACATCTGATCTTGAAATCTGGACCAGTAAATTACCCAGTCAAATGTTTATATATAAACACAAATCTGAGAAAAGGGAACTGATTTTCCAGATAGTAAAGTTTCTCTGGGCAGTTGATTTTTTTTTTTAACGGGAAGATAAGCCCATAATATGTAATCCAAAGAAATTAAAATCTGATTTTGTAAAAGTTCCTGTACAGTAGTTTAGAAACCCCATTTCTTTTATGAGAATGCAGAGCTCACTGAGTTAGTTTTATTAATTGGCACCAAATGAATGGGTGTCCATTTGACACATCAGTGTGGGGAACACTTGCAATCATTTGGTTATGTTTCGAGATGCAAAGCTAAACCTTTTATGCCCTGAAGGTGATGAGGAAATCACATGAAGCTCGTGAAAAGCTCCTCCGCCTGGGAATTTTTAGACAAGTAGATGTCCTAATTGATACATGTCAAGGTAATGATCTGTTTCTCTTTGTGTCTTAGTTGTCATTTGAAACACGTGCTTTGTGTCATTGTTCACTGCTCTTTGTTCAATCTACTTTAGAGCAAATCTTCCCAAAATCACATAGTGCAGAACAGAATAGAATAGAACTTGGTGTCTTTGGTTCTGCAAAATAAATTTCATACTCTGTGATGGGAATTTGGGGAGTGTGATTTTCATCGCTGTGTTTTTTTAACTCAGTTTGTAACTGAGAGAACCAAAGTGGATTTTAAGCAAACAGTGATGGATGAGAACCAAAAAGACATGAGCATTTAGAAATTTCTTAAGAAAAGAGAGAGGGTGCTCCTTTTATATCGAAGACCGTGGCTGCCCAAGAGTGCTAACGGAACTTTTAGCTTGGCTCAATTTAATGCTTTTCTATTTGCTCCTTTGGAGAGCAGGTTTCAAAACCTGCTCATCCTCAAATGACATTTCTCCTGAATCAGCTGAAGCGATTAGTTACAGGCTGTTGCGTTGCTCCCTGGATGGAGAAATCTGAAAGGTCCTCATTAACAAGAGGTTCAAGACGAGACAGGTAGAAGGTGGGGAGGAGCAGCACATCCAACCTTTTTGCTCTCGAGGTCTGTGATCAGATTATTACAGGAGAGAGTAGATTGTTTGCTTTTTCAACACACTTGAATTGCAGAAAAAGAATAGCGCTTCTTAAAATAATGATAGTTCGGTCCTGATTATAGTGTTGTTTTTTCCTCTTTTGTCTGTTCACGGCTAAATCTTTTAAATTGCCAGTCTTGGAGTGAATCTACAAATAAAAGTCAAATGAAATAAAAATAAAGAGTGCAGTTTGCACACAGTAGTAAGGCACAGCTAATTCCAGGGCCCAAGTCAAGGGATGAGTTCCCCCCCGCTTGTAAAGATGTCGGATTGGAAGCACCATCTCTCTGCTGAGGACCGAAGCAATCGCAGAATTCATCCTGCACTTGCAGGGGTGAATGTGCAGAAGGAGGGTGATAGGAACGCGCGGAAAGGCCAATCTCGTGGGTTGTCTTTCCTCCGTAGTGTGCAGCTTGCCTGTCACCCGCGTGCCCGTTTTGCCCAGTTCAATAGTCTGGCTAACTGCCATTGGGTATTTCTTACCTGTAGTGGTATCCGGTTTGTCCACATCAGTTTTAAGTTCTTATATTAAAAAACATACATTAAAAAGATCAGTGTTAGAACTTTCCTTGAAAGTTCCGTAGTGTTTCTTAAGGAAGCAAAAACCAGTAACAGGTGGAAACTTTTTACTAGGGATCAGTGTTTCGACGGACGATGTCAGAGCTTGAGCCTTGTGGGGGTCATGCTTGGAATCAGACAGCCCGTACCGAGAGTGGGAAATCCGGTGCCCCCTCGGGGTGGCTGCCCTCAGCTCCCAGCTACCGCATGACTAGAGTCGGGGAGGCGAGGGGTCAGGCGTCTGGAAGTCCATAGCTTTCCCATCTGAAATGTAAAAGAGAAGGCGTGACTTCAGCCTGGGTCACTACTACTGTGAGCCAAGCCTGTGGTATCACTGGGACAAGTAAATCATGACTAGCTTGCCTAGTTTTGACGTTAAAAATTCTGCGTTATTAAATCTGAATCTGTCCCACTGTTCAGACGGTGCCTGTTTTTTTAGCAAGGTTGTCAACACTGTTGTCTTTACTAATAGATGCACATATGTGTGGGTTTAGGCGATGAGGCTCTTCCAAATGGGTTAGATGTAACCTTTGAAGTAACAGAACTGAGAAGATTAACTGGAAGTTACAACACCATGGTTGGCAATAACGAAGGAAGCATGGTAGGTTTTGTCTCACTGGTTGCTGCTCTGTGTCAGCTGTGAAAAATGATATCTGTGTCGTTCCGATATAAACATGATTTGACTTCGTTTTGAGAAAATAGCCCTTCCTATTGTACCCTGTCCACTTTTCTGGCTTATTCTGTAATTACTTAGAAATGCGAGTTCTCTGCTTTTAGATGACTCTACCTTATCTAAAAGAATAGAACAGGAAGTCGGCCTTTTATTGTCTGGAGGGAAGGAAGTTAGTTTTCTTGCTGATAATAACAAAACGATGAAAGTCTGATGTTAAGAATTGAAGAGTTGGATTTTCAAAATTGCAGGGGAATGAAAGTCTAAAAAAGGGATAAAGTAGTGGAGAACGTGTATGTATCTGCCACAGACTGGTTGTCCATCTATCACACTTTACAGGTCCTTGGACTCAAACTGCCTAATATCTTTGGGCGTGCTGAGAAGGTGACGTTCCAGTTCTCCTACGGCACCAAGGAAACTTCATATGGTCTCTCTTTCTTCAAACCCCAGCCTGGTCACTTTGAAAGAAAGTAAGACTTTTAAAATAGGCGAAGGGTGGAATGCTGTGTGCATCTATTTTAGAGTTTCTTGGACTAAAGTTCCCATTAGATCAGTGTTTCTCAACCTTGGCAGCTTGAAGATGTGTGGACTTCAACTCCCAGAATTCCCCAGCCAGCTTTGCTGGCTGGGGAATTCTGGGAATTGAAGTCCACGCATCTTCAAGTTGCATTTGGAAATAAGCTCCCTTGATCTAATGCAGTGTTTCTCAACCTTGGCAACTTGAAGATGCGTGGACTTCAATTCCCAGAATTCCCCAGCCAGCTTTGCTGGCTGGGGAATTCTGGGAATTGAAGTCCACGCATCTTCAAGTTGCCAAGGTTGAGAAACACTGCATTAGATCAAGGGAGCTTATTTCCAAATAAGCATATGTGGGCGGCCCTTTAAGTTTTTGTAAGTTTAGAGAGACTTTTCTTCAGAGTAAGTACGGTCATTGATCGCTTTTTTCCAGATGGCACCAATTCTCAGCCCCTTTTTTTTCTTTCATTGTAATAAAAGGTCAGTTGATCTCAGCTTTCCTGACTCTCTTTGCTAGTGGGCAAGTTCTAGCATCATGCCTTGCATTTTAATTACAGTGATACCTCGGGATACGAACGCCTCTGCTTGCGAATTTTTCGGGTTACGACCAGCTCTGGCCCCAAAATTTTACCTC